AAAGTTTGATTGTGCTCCCAGGGAGATAGGCCCGGAACCGCCGCACTGCCATCACCACTGCCAACAGTTCTCTTCGGGTGACGCAATAGTTGCGCTCAGGTCGGTTGAGGCTGCAACTGTAATAGGCCACCACCCGCTCTTCGGCCTCCCCATCTTGGGAGAGCACAGCTCCAAGTTCTACTCCACTGGCATCAGTGTCCACAATGAACGGTCGCAGGGGGTCTGGGTAGGCAAGAACAGGGGCCTCCACCAGTGCCTCCTTAAGCTGGTGGAAGGCAGTGTTGCAGGTCTTGTCCCACTCGAACCTGCTGCCCTGGTTTGTCAGTCGGTGAAGGGGAGCAGCCACTGTAGCAAAGCCCCTGACGAACCGGTGATAGTAGGAGGCCAGGCCCAGGAAGCTCTGCAGCTCCTTGGCATTAGTCGGTTGGGGCCACTATACCACCGCAGCCACCTTCGCTGGATCGATGGCGACACCTTCCCCATTCACCACATGCCCCAGGAAGGTAGTCTCTTTGGCCAGGAGGTTGCACTTGGCCGAGTTGAGGCGGAGCCCTGCCCGGCGAATGGCCAACAGAACCTCCCGTAGGTTCATCTGGGCTGTTTCAAAGTCCTTGGCGTGCACTAGCAGGTCGTCCAAACACACCACACATCGACTGTGGGGGATGTCCTTGAGCACGTGCTCCATGAGTCGCTCAAAGGTAGCAGGGGCACTGCACAAACCAAAGGGCATCACTATGAACTGCCACAGTCCTTGACCAATAGTGAGGGCAGTCTTTGGTCAAGCCTCTGGAGCAAGCTCGACCTGCCGGTAGCCACTCCGTAGGTCCAAAGAGCTGAATCACCGGGACCCAGCCACATGGGGATAGGAGTCTTTTTTTGTTACGTCGTTGAGCTGGCGGTACTCCACACATGGCCGCCACCCACTGTCCTTCTTCTTCACCATGACAACTGGCGCTGCCCACGGACCATGCGCTGGCTCAATTACCCCATTAGCTGCCATGCTCCGAATCAATTCCTCAGCCGCTTGTCGCTTGGCCAATGGCAAACGATGTGGCCGCAAGCGGATGGGGGATCCTTGGCCAGTGTCTATGTGATCCTGGACCAGGCCCATCCGGGTGCAGTCCTCATTGCGGGCAGCAAAAATGTTCACAAACTCCTCTAACAAGCAGTCCAGTTGTGTCTTCTTGGCCTGGTCCAGGAGGTGGCTGACTATGGTGGAGAGCCCTCCGACCCAGCCTGGGCAGAGGGATAATGATGGATGGCCGGCAGGCATGAGGTGATGACCCCCACCTGATGACTTGTCGGACCCTCTGGGCGCTCTGCACAGTGGCCTCTCCAGTCCATCCAGAGTGGCACGGTCTCCACACCAAAGATGAGGAGGGACCTTGGTACATCCACACTTGCCCCCCCAGCATGCCAGCAGGTCTAGTCCAATTATGCAATTGTCTCGGATCTCAGCCAACCAGAAGTCATGCCCTGTCTGCTGTGCCCCCACCACCACAGGCAGGTTCTTTTTTCCAAGCATCGAAGTTCTCTCCCCAGTGACAGTTAATATTTCAGTTGTGGTGGGGGTCCAGTCTTCCAGAAGGGGGCCAGCAGTCCCTGGTAACAATCCTCTGCGTAGTAGACAAATTGTGGACCCAGTGTCCACCAGTGCTTGGCAGAGCTGTCCAGCAATTTCACAGTCCAAATAAAGTCCACAGGTAGGCCCACAGCATCCTACTATCTGGTTGTCCTCTTGAAGGATCCCATTTCTGACACCAAATGTAATGACCCCTGGCGTGGGGGAGAGTGACTAGCTATACTGGAACAGCTAAGCTAGCTAGCAGGGCACTAGCACCTATGCTGATATCAATTAGCAATTATTCCAGGCCCCATACACCCGCACGACTCTGGATATTTCCCGGGCGTGTCCTTAAACAATGACCACGATGCAAAGCTGGCTTCTCTGCCATTTATTTAGAACATGCTGAACGATGGCACGTCCCCCAGGGTCAGCCTCACACATACAAGCCAAACTGACGGTCCAAAACACAGCACAGCAATTAACTTATTAAAACATCATCAGATAACACACCAGCATAAGCCAGCAACACTAACACACAACAACAATGGGGTAACACGTAAGAACACTTCTAACTATAATTTTGTAACTACTCTGTCTACTATTTACCAAACTCCCATGATGCACCTCTGCATCATGCAGCTGCCACTAGACCCCCTAATGGCTGACGTGGATTGTCTCAATACTGTATATGTGTATGGTACAGCAGTAGCACATTGGCTCAGAGGAAAACGCTCTAGAGGGTCATTAATATGGCCCAGGAGATCGTCAGCTGCCCTCTCCTCACCCTAGAAGAACTGCAAGTTCCTGCTGCTATTTATTTCGTTTTTCTAGCGGTCTTATTTCATATGTTATGTTTTTTTCTATTGCTGTACCTACTGGACAGTGACAGTAAAGGATTATCTTATCTTATCTTGTCTTGTCTTGTCTTAATAAAACAAGAAAGGTTTATTTCTAAACAGAAATATGCCGATAAACTGAACACAACTAAACTCTAATAGCAATAACAATTTTGCTTTTATTTTATTTGTAACTTGATTAAAAAATTTTCAAGATTTTCTTTTAGGGTCCAATGTCTTACTTTGAAAATATAACCGGAAGTTGTGTGTCAGCTGACTTTTGTTGACGTGACGCTCTATTTCGTCATTGAGACGCGACGGAGTTTCTTCACGTGAAAGTGCGAAACAAAGTCGAAGGTTTCAGAAGGTGAGAATTTGTTATTAATTTGTTATTAGTTTGTTAATTTACACAAACACGGTGGACGGGTGTTTTAATATGAAAGATGGAACTTCGGGAATGATTGTGACGAAGTTGTTTTTGAGCAGAAATCATCAGTTATAGAACAAACACTTCAGTTATAAAATAGATTTAATTTGAAAACCTCCTGCTGATTAGTTATGGAAAAATTAAGCCTCGTCGAAGCTTTCCAGCCATTCGAAGCAAAAAACAGGAAACCATGTAGTGGTGAAAAGATCGCAGCACAGAAATTTGTAGAAATGTATAGAAAGAGACTGAAGCGGTGCAGCTCACCCTTATGTTTGTTATAGGTTAAACGACTGAGAGCGTTTCTTCAAAATATAAAACGAATCCCATGTAATTTGTACTATTGTTACCTCTCTCACCCCGTTAGGGGTCGCCACAGCGAATCATCTGTTTCCACCTAACTCTCTCCTCTACTCTCACCCCAATTATTATTATAGTAAGTAAAATTGTCTACAGAACCCAATAAGAACCGAGCAACAAATCACACACCTTAATAACTGAACAGAACAAAGTAATAAATTGAAGAGAGAGAGGGAACAACAAATAATAATAAAATAAAAAAAATAAATTAAACATATAGCCAGGGGCTTATAATAAGTCAAATCGTCCAATTGCAGACAAAAGATCTCGGGCTCCTTTAACACTCTTGTAGCCCAGGGACTTTTAAAATGTAGGTATTTCATGCCTAAATGCATCTAAACAAGGTTGCCTTTTACTCCATTTACATTTACGAATATAATATTTTGCCAAAATGATAGTTATTCACCAAGAATTACAAATCTTTTTCTTTCAGAGATATACCAAATTTGATGCTTTCTAAAGTGAAGAGTGCTAAGAAATCAATTTTGGACCTGAGCCAGTCATTTAAACATGCCCAAAAGTTAAATGTATGATTACAACAGAAAAACAAGTGATCTGTGTCTCTGTCTCAGAGTTGCAAAAAGTACAACAGTTTTCATCCATATTAAATTTCAATCATAAGAATTCTTTAGAGGGGTAGAATTCATTCAGCATCTTGAAATGCACCTCTTTGGCTTTAGGAATTAGAGCTGTAATTCTTAGCCCGAACCCGACCCGACCAGCGGGCACCCGACGGGTCAGGCTTAATTTCTATCATTTTTACTCAGGCCGGGCTCAGGCTCGGGCTCGCGCGTTAAATTAGTGGTCACGTGATGCGTTTCAATTAGCGTGAGAAAGATGCATTGCGAAGAACGAAGATGGATGAGGTGAAACAAAGGCTTGCCTCTGGCGTATATTTTTTGGTTACACCAGCAGCAGCTACTGTAAGTCTGAGGTGTGGCAACATTTTGAACATGTGCATAACGAGAACAATGACCCAGTGGGTTATGTAAAATGCAAGAAATGTAACGTTCTCTTAAAATACAACAGCAAAATGACAGGGAATTCCTCACTGAGAAGGCATGTTGAGCGATGCTGTGTGCGTGCGCCGTGCGCACATTTGAATAATGTCGGGCTGTAAACGGGTTCGGGCTGTCAATCAAAAATGTACTTGTCGGGCTCGGGCCGGGCTCGGGCCGAATTCTGTCGGGCTCGGGCCCTGTCAGGCCTAACTTTTCAGGCCCAATTACACCTCCATTAGGAATTATGGGGAATGAGATGTATCTCTTTCTTATTTCACAAGCCATATGGCCTGAAAGACCGCCAAATACATAGTTTCTTCTTGCAGGTGAAGGATAACATATATTAAGAAGCTGAGCTCTGATAAAGCAGTTAGAACACTGTCACCCCAATTAACTTCATGTCCTCTTTTAGCACATCCATATATCGCCTCTTTGGCCTTCCTCTTGCCCTCTTGCCTGGCAGCTCCATCTCCGAAATCCTTCTACCAATATAACCACTATCCCTCCTCTGCACATGTCCAAACCATCTCAATCTGGCCTCTCTGCCCTTGTCCCCAAAACAGCCGACCTGAGCTGTCCCTCTGATGTGCTCATTCCTAATCCTGTTCATCCTGGTCCCTCCTAAAGAGAACCTCAACATCCTCATCTCTGCTACCTCCATCTCTGCCTCTTGTCTTTTCCTCACTGCTACAGTCTCTAACCCATACAGCATAGCTGGTCTCACTACTGTCTTGTACACCTTTCCTTTGATTCTTGCTGACACTTTTCTGTCACACAACACTCCTCACACCTTTCTCCACCCACTCCAACCTGCCTGCACTCACCTCTTCACCTCTTTCCCACACCCCCCATCACACTGGACTGTTGACCCCAAATACTTAAACTCCTGCACCTTCTTGACCTCTGCCCCCTGTAACCTCACTGGTCCACTTCCCTCCCTCTCGTTCATACACATGTATTCTGTCTTACCACGACTGACTTTCATTCCTCTGCTTTCCAGAGCAGACCTCCACCTTTCCAGGTGTTCCTCCACCTGCTCTCGGCTCTCATTACAGATCAGATTTGTAATTCTTGAACCAATAACTTAAATATTGTGTAATATGTCACTCTGTATGTTTTTGCCTTCAGAAATATGAGTAGCCTAATGTTCATCCAATACAGTAAATTATATTATTATTCCTATTAATATCAACAAAATTGTCTCTAATGCATGTGTGACAAGACAGTTTCTGTGACTGTACAGACATGGATGGTAGGAAAATGGCTGTATTCTTCATAAACAATAACTGCTGAGTGTGTGTGGTGAATACTGGACAGAGAAGGGGGAACCATCCATCCATCCATTTTCCTTCGCTTATCCGGGACCGGGTCGCGGGGGCAGCAGTCTAAGCAAAGATGCCCAGACTTCCCTCTCTCCAGGGGAATGCTGAGGCGTTCCCAGGCCAGCCGAGAGACATAGTCCCTCCAGCGTGCCCTGGGTCTTCCCCGGGGCCTCCTCCCGGTGGGACATGCCTGGAACACCTTCCTAGGAAGGCGCCCAGGAGGCATCCGAAAGAGATGCCCGAGCCACCTCAGCTGGCTCCTCTCGATGTGGAGGAGCAGCGGTTCTACTCTGAGCTCCTCCCGGGTGACCGAGCTCCTCACCCTATCTCTAAGGGTGCGCCCAGCCGCCCTGTGGAGAAAGCTAATTTCGGCCGCCTGTATCTGGGATCTTGCCCTTTCGGTCATGACCCAAAGTAAATGACCATAGGTGAGAGTAGGAACGTAGATTGACCAGTAAATCGAGAGCTTCGCCTTACAGCTCAGCTCATTTTTCACCACGACGGACCGGTACATCGACCGCATTACTGCAGAAGCTGCACCGATCCGCCTGTCAATCTCCCGTTCCATCCAAATCATTTTTATTTAAAAATTGTATTTGTTGTAGGGTCTTTGGGCACAGTCTGTTTTATATATATTATTTCTCCAGCCTTAGAAAAAAAGGCTGTTTGCCTGATGCAGGACTACATAAATAGCCCATCTGAGGTGGTAGGCTCCAGGTAGGTAGGTAGGTAAGTAGGTGGATAGGTAGGTAGGCACTTTATTGATCCCTCAATGGGGAAATTTCAGTGTTTCAGCAGCAATGGAGAACAAACAACATAACACCATGAGAACAAGCGCCGCACAGGTGAAGAACAGGTAGTCTACACTCTTTTATGTGTGGTCCAGCAGAGGGAAAAATTAAACTCCAGCTATATTTCACCCAAAAACACAACCATAAATTGTACATACAGTCATACAGATTATTTTGATATCAGAGCTCTGAAGAAAAAGCACATGTAGTAGCACATTTTCCCATACTGGGGATAACCTCTGTTTTGGTGCTGATGCCATGGTAATATAATGCAAACAATCGCACTTCAATGATCTCCAGTACTACAAACACAAAAGCTTTGTGATCTCCGTCTTCTCCCCTTATAGCTCAAACACATGCTCAAACATCCCATAAACTTTGAAGCTCTTCCTGAACCAGTAGCCCAGATGAAGCTTCAGGCGTCATCAGGGAGGAGTGTTATCAATGTTTCGGTCAGTTTCACAGTGTTTAAATAAATTATTTGTGACTAAAGTTTGTCACATATTCCATGTTAGACTTTTATATGTTCCATACTATATAAGAAGGTAATTACATTCCTGTAGTGTTCATTTGGGTGTGAATTAAACATTTTAGTGATGGGAAGTGAAACTCAGAGCTGGTTCCACAGGAGAGGAGCTTGATAGCTAAAGGCTCTGCCTCCCTTTCTACTTCTGTGGACTCTAGGAACCACTAGTAAACCTGCACTCTGAGAGCAAAGTGCTCTGTTAGGATGATAAGGCTCTACGAGGTCTTTAAATGGAGGCTTTTTAGGGAATTATTGGGACATCCTGATAGTAAAGAGTTAGAATAGTCCAGCCTGGAAGGAACAAATGCATGGACCAGTTTTTCAGCATCACTTTGAGACAGAATGCTCCTGATTTTCGCAATATTGCGCAGGTGAAAAAAGGCAGTTCTAGAGACTTGGTATATGTGTGATTTAAAGGACATATCCTGATCAAAGGTGACTCCAAGGTTCCTCACAGTAGTACTGGAGGTGAGAGCTATGTCATCTAAAGTAACTATATGATTAGACAGCAGATTTCTAAGGTTTTCAGGCCCAAGCACAATAACTTCAGTTTTGTCAGAGTTTAGAAGTAAGAAGTTGCAGGTCATCCAGGCCTTTATGTCTTTAAGACATGCTTGAAGTTTGACCAACTGACCTGATTCATTTGGCTTCATAGATAAATATAACTGAGTATCAGATGCATATCAATGGCAATTTATGCTGTGCTTCCTGATAATATTGCCTAAAGGGAGCATGTATAAAGTGAAGAGAATTGGACCTAACACAGAGCCCTGTGGAACGCCGTGACTAACTTCAGTTTGTGTGGAACATTCATCATTAACATGAACAAATTGAAATCTTTCTGATAAATAAGATTTGAACCAACTTAGCGCAGTTCCTTTAATCCCAATAACATATTCAAG